GAGCAGGAAAACTAATATGGTAGGTGTTGGAAGTGTGTGCAGAGACTTTTTGGGCATGCATATGTTGGTTTGCAGTTGCTGTCATTCCTATTTCCCCTTGATTGCTAAAGCTAATGCAGTGGTGTTTGGTTTGATGATTTCTAAGAAATATGGTTGAAAATACATTAATTTAGAGATGGATTCCTTAATTCCTTGGAATTATTGTAGGTTTAAGAAGGATTATCAATGGAGCATCAATATATAGATGAAAAGAATTGAAGATGTGACAAAAAACTTTTACATTTCCTGGACTCACTAAGAGAGATGGAAATAAAGTGGCTAACTGGGCTGCAAAATTTGAAAATCATCTTAACTTTTCCTTTGTTTCTAAGAAGGCCCCTTGGGCTTTTGAACAACTTGTTCAGTTGGATTTGCATTAGCTTTGTTTCTTATGTCTCTTTATCCTGATTTCTTTGTATTTTGGTTGGATTCTTTTTGTTGTTGGGTGGCGTGTGTTGTATTTTCTTTTTTTAAGAGAGAGGAACATCAGGTTTTTGTTTTTATGTGAATTGTATGGGGTGTGTGGTAGGTTCCTCTTGTCTTTTTTTTTGTAAAACTTTTTTGTGTGGAACAAAATTTCTTATGGGGTTTATTAAGAAAAATATTTATTTATAAGTAATGGAAAAAAAATTTTGGTTGTGACTACCTTGTTGCTCTGTTAACTTGGCATACTCAAATCTCACTTCCTAAAAACCTTGAAATATCACCTCCATTACGTTGGGATGTTTTCATAAATGTAATATTGAAGTGATATTTCTTATCTAGGTAGAGTATATTAGGTTGAAGCACATTTCCTCTAGTTAACAGCCTCATAGTGCAATATGTCACTTCTCTGTCCTCCAATATTTTCTCCCATGCTAGCTTGTCCCTTGAGTATAAAAAATACATTTTAAAATTTGATCAATGATGTTTATGAAAATTGTTATTGTCATGGTTTAAAGGCAGCAACTATAAGAAAATATAATAGATCCAAGTTGTAGTGAAGAACACAGATTAATCACACAAGTATAATAGTCAATCAAGTAGTATATAAGTTTTTAGTCCAAGTATTGATCCCATGATGAACACATTAATTTTAAAATAAGGTAATTACTAGTTTACTAATTTTATGTTTAATTTTAAATGTTTTAGTGATTTGTAAGAGTTTATAGTTATTCTTTGTTTTGAGGAATAAGTTTCTTTGAAATGGATCATGTGAATCTTCAATATTCTTCCAAACATTTTCCCCACTTAAATTTTATAGTAAGGTATAAATACTCCTTACTTTACTTCTGGATATAAGAAGCATAGGAGCCTCATATTATGATTAAGTCCCCATAAACTTGCAAATTCTCTTAGGAATCTATATTCTTCAATGTGACTAAAATATTTTAATTCCACTAGTCTTTTTCCACCAATAAATTGAGTATTAACCTACTTGTTCTTCTAGCCTATGGTTAGTAGTCTTTGATCACAATGGGTTTTAACTTATCTAGTGGCCCACAAGAAAGTAAATAAGACTTGAATGGTTAACACTCAAACATGAATTTAATTAGTATAGAGAGATATCACAAAACGAATATGAATTTTCACATTACCAAATAATATAAGAGATTTAGTTCCTACACATGCTTAAAGAAAACATAAAGGATTTCATAGATAAAACATGTAAGGTATACAAGTAAAGAAGAATTATAAGCAATATTGAAATCCTTTTGCTTTTAGTTTTCTCTTCTTGAATCTACTTTTTGATTCCTCTCAAGTCAATCCACACTTTAACTACAAACTCTCACCTACAGTCATACAAGTGAACTATCACAATATGAATGGAAAATTCTCTCTTCAAAGAGATGGATTCTCTCTTTAAGGGTATCCTCTCTCTCTCTCTCTCTTACACACACACACACACATGCTCTAAGGATTTAGACGTCCAAATAATGGAAAAGTAGCCTCTACCATATGAAGATTTTTTTATCCATTTATCTCGCCCCTAGCCTAAACTATCAAAAAAACACCAAACCCACCCAAAGTCGGTGAGGGGCATGGTGACATTGCTTAGCTAGCATCGGGGCACTGATGTAGAGTGATGTAGCACTACTAAACTCGATGTTGTAATTTGTTATGAGAGCTAATCAATTCAGGGCTTCAAGCAAATGAACACTGACACCTATAGCACGGTGGGGCTATTTAGGGCCTTGGAGCCTAACATTGGGATGCCATCTTCTCTTTATTCTAGTTGAAATTTAGTACCTTAAGGTGCTAAGGCACTAAGTGTTAGGGCACTGAGGCTAGACACTGGAGCGCTTGGATGCTAACATTGTGATGTTGTCTTCTTTGGATTTTACATGTAAAGGAGCAACATCTGGCGGTGAATTGCTCTCCACAAGCGTCGGGGGACTTAACTTCTGACTTAGCCTATTTTATACCAAATCTTTCAGTTTTTTCTATATAATACACAAAAAGACCAAATGTACCCATAAAAACATAAAAAAGGATACACATATTGTGATAAACACACCATACATCACTACATATTTTATACTCATTAAGAACTCATGCTTTCACATACCATCTCTGTCAACGCTATCTAAGAAAAAGTTTTGTAGGTCTATATTTTTAAATTTCTTACCCTTAATGATCTAATTAATGAGTAAATTAATATCTATACTGATGCTTTATAATTCCTTATCTGATGAATATAACTTAAAGTATAGCCTAATGACCAAAGAAAACTCAAAAATATTATATGTATTCATTTACTCTATAGTGTAGAATGAAAAGAGTACCCCTCATTATATGCATCATTAATCTTCCTTAATACCAGTTGATTAATTAGAGGAAGAGAAAAAAAAATTAAGAGCTCTATAGAATTTATAAGAAAGATGCCTTTCAACATTAACAATGAGATCATCAGCCTTAAACTACCCAACTAGTTTTCTCCATCACACCTTAAGAACTGAATGTAACTCTGGCACTACCATACCTGTCAACTTGCATGATTAGATTATGCATGTTTCTAAAAAAAAAAAAATTGAATGAGTTAACTCTAAGAGATACAATTAAAAAATTATAATTGAGTCATGTTTAAGTTATCTTTGAATCATTATCAAACAAAATATTGACTATACTTGAAATATAATTGAATAAAAGATCTATCCCACTTTGATTAATAATCCACAAGTATAAACCAACTAACCTTCTTGTCATCCAACATGGCTAATTACCATCAATATTGTCTCACTCTAAATCTTTATAAGGTTGAGGAGAGCTATTTGTCCTCACCATGACAATCATCATTGTCATCTTCTATTGGTCTTGTAAATGGCCCAATCATAGACAAGTTATTAGTCTAAAAAAATTGTATTTAAAGATCAAATTATTTTTGAAAGTTTTTTGAAAAATGATCAATAATGATCAGATAATAATCAAATTATGTTTGAACTATTTTTGAATGATGGTCAATAAATGATAAAATAATAATAATAAAATTTTCATATTCACCTTCGCCATGATCCATCAATGCTCAATCATGTTTTAATAATTATTCGATCATTGTTTGAAAATTAATTATTATTTTTTTATCATCATTCAATCATATTCTTAACTGATAATCTACTATTGATTGATCTTTTGAGTTTAGATTTTACAGTATAAACATCATATTTACTTTTAAATGAATACCAAAATGACTTTACTAACCCTCATTGTAGATAAATGTAAAATTGTCGCTGTAATCCAAACACAAATGATAGTAAGTAAAGAAAGTACTTGAAAGAAAAATGATCAAGGAGTTCCTATGATTAGGAAGTAGTGTAAATGCTCTTCCAATTTCCAACTATTTGTTAAACAATAAAGCATTTTGCATCTTCCAAGCATATTTTTTAATAAAATAAACAATATGAATATTTAGGCAATTTTAGTTAGGGAAATTTACATATATAAACATATAATTCTCATGTTTTTTTTATATTTAACATATAAACATTGATATTTATATGCATACCATTCAAATCTTTAGCATCACATAAAAAATACCACTATCATCATATTTTTTAAAAGTGAAATACACATTTCCATGCATAAGTTTATGACACAATGGTATTATAAGGGTAAATATTTGGGTGATGGATATGTAAATACAAAAGAATTGTGTGCTATGTTAGTAAATTTCCCTTCTTTCTATGTAAATAATAAAATTTGAGTGTGAGAAATTTAATTTTACAGTTTCAAAAGAAAATTGTACAAAACTTGTCAAACGAAAGCCACTTTCGACAAAGATCAAGACGTACCCAACCAATGAAAGAGATCTGTCAGACTTCACAAAACAACACCACGAGTCATCTTAGAGAAAACCTCAAGATTTATCGAGATTACTTAGGTGCCCATAAATCCTCTCGTGGCTTTCGTGTTAAAGGGGCGGGGCTACTTGTACTTGTTAGATTATGTTAACGTGCCTTGTCCCCATTAGCAAAGTCTCTCTTGACAATAGGAATCCATAGCTTAAAGTGTCAACAACTAATAGTTAGATCAAAAAAACAAACAAATGAAGTTTGGTGAAGAACCCTTTTCAAGGGAACTCCATAATCAAGAGAATGACCTCAGCTAAGTCAACTGGCTGTCCTCCGCGGAGTCAACCGATTGACCAACATAGGAAAGCCAACCGTTTGCCCCTACTCAGCCAAATTGAATAGATGGACTTGGGCGGCCCAAGTGCCATCACTCCCAAATGGTAAAATGATGGGACAACCGAGCAAGAGACCTTTTATTTATTTATTTATTTATGTATTTATTTTTGATAAAAATATCGGCAAATAATTATGTCCTTATTCAAGCAGGCGCAAATAATTAGAGAATCTTTTTTAGAGTAAAAGCTAATAAACCATCCAAGCTAATTTAGTCATATTTTCACTCTAGTGTTGTCTCTTTGTCTTACACTATTCACAATTTTGAATATACATATTTGTAAAGCAAAAAGCATTTTAAAGCCAGCAGGCGAGGAAGCTGCGGCGAGCAATTTGTAACATAACAGCAGATAAAAGCCGGAGGACCGGTCAGGTGACTTCCCCGGGCTGCAGCAATCCATGCTTGACTGGTGCAGGCGTGGAAGCTGCGGCGAGCAATTTGTAGCATAACAGCAAATAAAAGCCAGAGGACCGGTCCGGTGACTTCCCGCAGGCTGCTGCAATCTATGCTTGACTGGTGATGCCTTCAGCACAGCAGACGACACTCGAGAAATCGACTTATGTTGGTCTCAAGATATGCAAAAAATGACGAACGGTTTTTGTTTGAATCATTATATCAAAAGGATCAGGCCAGACAGAGCTCAGAGACCCTGTTACATCTGATCCAAGAAGTAAAATGAATGCTCCCAATCCTTTGCTCATTTTGTTCTACCTCTCATGTCTCTTTCTCTCTCCAAATCCAATCACGGGAACCTTCCGTACCACCGGAGAAGTCGGTGTTCTATCTACGAGTACGCGGTGGATCGTAGACCAGAGTGGGCGTCGCGTTAAGCTGGCCTGCGCGAACTGGGCGGCACACTTGGAGCCGGTGGTGGTGGAGGGGCTTGGTAAGCAGGCACTAAAACACATCGGCAGTTCGGTCCATGGGGTTCAACTGCGTGCGGCTCACTTGGCCCGTCTATCTCGCTACCAGAGCTTCCGTTTCCTCGCTCACCGTCAACGAATCCCTCCTCCACCTCGGCCTCGTCGAGTCGGCAAAAGGCATCGCCTTCAACAATCCCCATATGCTGAACCTAACCCTCATCGAGGCCTTCAAGGTAAGCTCCGAGTTCGATTCACGCATGCGAGGTTTGAGGTTTCTACCTTTCATTTTTAACCAATCGGCAATGTTATCTACTTGGATTAATCGAGTACTTTGTTAAGAAATTGTGTACGTGCATAATCAATTTATGTTGTGATATTGTGAGATATGTACTTCCTGACATAGAAATGAGACGAAAAAGGAACACAGGCAAACACAGATCGTTTACGTGGTTCGATTCAACTGGATCTACGTCCACGGGAGGGAATCAATCAAATATTTCACTAAGGTTAAAGAAATGGAGAATACATAGCTTATACATAGAGATGAGCCCTCATCTTCCTTCTACGGCCTCCCTCTCAAGCGATACCTTGATACATACCTTGATACAAGGCCTTGATACAAGGCCTCAAGATGCTCTCCTCTTTTCTAGCTCTTTAGCTATTCTCTCCTCCTTTGTGATAGCTTAAGATCTCTTCCCTTTTCTCTCCTAAGCCCCACACCCTTAAGATCTCTTCCCTTTGCTCTCCTAAGCCTCACACCCTCTCTATTTATAGAAGCAATAGAGTGGTAGATGGGAGGTAGGTGAGCGGTAGGTGAGCGGTAGGTGAACGGTATGTGAGATGTGGTAAGCGAGTGGTACCACATTACAAAAGTGTCCTTTTACCTTAGTTCATTAATTGGGGGTCAAAATAACAATTTACAAGGAATGTTAGTGGACTAAGAGGAGTTTTAAGATTGGATAAAATCTAACAATTGGACTCATAAGTTACTTTAGAAAAAATTATATAGGATTTCTTTATATATGAATTGGGTTGGTCTAGTTCGATAGGTTTGACCAAATCAAAATTTCGACATTTCATATTATACTTACAACTTGTCATTGGGTTGGATTGATTTAATTTTACCCTTTTTTCCGTTTATATCACTAATTAAGCTGCATTTAAAGTCTATGGAAAGCCAACTCCTCGAGTTTACACCCAAATATGATATGGTCCTAGTTCAAATCACATCAACCCAGCTCAGCGTTTGATGTAAGTTGGGTGAGTACGAAGGTTTATCCTATTGAACTCATTCATTAGGACCACATTTATTTTGCCTAAGCTATATTGAAATTGCTGTAGCCATATTGAATTCAGATCACAAGGAACTCACAAAATTCTTCTCAAAGTTGCAAAGCTTGTGCTTTGAACTCATTGGATTCTTCATGAACTTGTAGAATGAAGTTTTACTTGGATATTGTATTTATGTATATTTGGCCTATGGATTGACTGAACCTCATTGCCCAAGTATTTGGGCATTTCGCTTCAACACTCAACGATAATTTTCCTTGTGCTTTAAAGTTGATTGTTGGCATTTGATCAATTTAAGCAAGGTGGAAGACTTCTCATACAGTTGACATCAATTGAGCAATATGAATGCACTTTTTATTCAGTTTGAGTACACGCCTGATGGATTTTTAAAATGAACGATTTTCAAAGCATTGCTATCTACTTTTCTAATATTATAAATCTATGGGACTTTCTTTCTGTGTCAAGCTTTGACCAAAGCCTATAAATAAGGGGGCCACCAGGAGTTTCTACACATTGAATCATTTGGACACGAACCCTAAACATTTAATAATCTAATAAAACCTCCATGCTTTTCACTCCTAAATGGGTGTTGGGGTGCTACTGATTTTGGGCAATTTCTTAATTATTGTGCTAGTTTTGTTGATTGGGGTTATCAAATTTTTGAATTCTCTTTTGCAAAGGGGAGGAGACGAGTGTCCTTGAGTATTCTGAACTGCGGAAAGGCTTGAGTGTGACGAAATTTGTACGATAGTCCTCATTTTTTTCATATTGGATTTTTTGGTGTGACGTGGATTCGTGGTATTTTCCCATTCTTGAGTTTTTTCACATTAAATATTTTGTTTTCTGCAATTTTTTTTTTTGTACGCTTCTATTTAAAGTTTTTCTTCGGATCTCTCGAATCAATTTCAACAATTTAAATCTCTTAACATATTATATAATTATTTCTTTTTGCACTCTACTTCTGTTTGGTGAGCCCCCAGTGCTTGTGATGGGGAGTTTATGACCTTCGGGTATGACCAACTACAAAACTAGGAATATAGTTCATGATTTTTTATAAGTGGTTCTCAACTGCCTTTTTAATGTTTCCTTAATGTTGAAAGATCTCGAAAATACAAATTATTGTATTCTATATTTGTTATAACTCTATATTTAGAGGGTTATAAATTATATGAGAGATCTTAGGAATTTATATTTATTTCTCTCCTTAAATTAGAGAAATTAGTTACCTCTTATATTTTGCTATTATTCCTTTCCTTTTCTATTGTATTCTATTTTTATTATTTTTCCTACCAGTAAGTCTTGTAATGGGTATTTATACCCCTCTTTTCATCAATAAAATTAAGTCATCTCATATCTTTTCATGGTATCAGAGCCATATCAATCTTCTTCGGTATGACGACTGCTTCTTCTTCCTCCGAAGAAATATGCTCCGCCTCATCTGCCCCTGTTCCAACCGGAATCGATGACACTTTCTCACTCATCACTGGCCACAAACTCGACAGCCAGAACTACCTCCAGTGGTCCCAATCCATCATGATGTTTATCTGTGGCTGAGGCAAAGACGACTATATCACCGGTGATGCCGTCGCTCTGACCAAGGATGACCCAAAATTCCGGACATGGAATGCAGAAAATCACATGGTCATGTCGTGGTTAATCAATTTCATGACCAACGACATCGGCAAAAATTTTCTTCTCTACGACACGGCCAAGAATATTTGGGATGCTGCTCGAGAGACATACTCACACTCAGATAACACATCCAAGTTATTTAAGATCGAGTCAATCATTCACGATCTTCGCCAAGGTGATCAATCTGTGACTCAGTATTTTAATGCCCTCTCACATTACTGGCAGCAGATTGACATGTATGAAGTCCATGCCTGGTCATGCACTCCAGACTCCAACTTAGACCGTCAGATCATCGAACAGAAAAGGATATTCAAATTCCTATTCGACCTCAACAACTCTCTCGATCATGTCCGCCCTCGTGTATTAAGCTTCAAACCACTACCGAGCATTTGCGAGACCTTATTCGAGGTTCTCCGCGAAGAAAGCCACCAGAAAGTTATGCTTGGGTCTATCTCGACCTCGCCCAATCTCTCGGTTGGAGCCTCCGCCCTTGCAGCTCGGGTTCCTCCGCCTCGACACAGCGACAACCCATCACGCAAAGGCCGTCTCTGATGCGACCATTTCCGCAAACCAGACCATAACAAAGACACGTGTTGGGTGCTTCATGGAAAGCCAGCCGATTGGAAGCCTCGGGCTGATCGCGCTCCCCGTGCCAACAGCCCCGTCGCTGCCGATGACATTCCTGTACCAGCGCCCAGTCCATTCAGCAAAGAGCAATTAGATTTGCTGCACAAACTGATCGACAAACCACATGATGTGACTATTCCCGATCTCATCACCGGCCAGCTCGCTCATCAAGGTACATTCTACCATGTCAGATCCCTCGGTCAGTGGATCATCGAGTCCGGCGCTTCTCATCACATAACTGGTGATGCCTCTCTTCTCCATGATTATATGTCGTGTGTAGACAACTCCACCATCCGCGTTGCCGATGGCTCTGTCTACAAAGTCACCAGCTTTGGCTCCGTGCGTATCACCCAAAACATTCTATTCAGATCTGTGCTTCATGTTCCTACTTTAAATTGTAATTTAATATCCATCAGAAAGTTGATTAATGATTTGAGGTGTATTGCTAAATTTTTTCCTACCATGTGTGAATTTCAGGATGCGGACTCGGGGACGACGATTGGCAACGTTGAGATGTGCTCGGTCTCTACGTCATCAACGGTACTTCACCACCACGACCTCACTGCGGACATTTGTCTACCCATCATTCTGTTTTCAATTCTAGTGTCAATAAATATTCCAAGATCATGTTATGACATTTTCATCTCGGCCATCCAAATTTTATGCATCTTGCAAAATGATTTCTAAATTTATTTATGAATAAAGATGTTTCGTTCTTTCCAATGTGAGTTTTGTCAACTTGCCAAACACACTCGCACGTCATTTCCATGTGTTGGTTACACTACTTCCCGACCTTTTGCATTTATTCACAGCGATATCTGGGGCCCATCCCGTGTTATAACCCTTATCGGGACTCGGTGGTTTGTCTCCTTTATTAATGATCACACTCGACTAACTTGGCTATTTCTTATGAAAGATAAATCTGCAGTCGGTCACATATTTGAACATTTTTACTCAATGATCCAAACACAATTCTAAACCTCCATCGAGGCACTCAAGGCTGATAATGCAAAAGAGTACTTCACTTCCGTTCTCGGCTCTTATATCTCCTTTAAAGGCATCCTCCATCTCAGTTCTTCCGTCGACACTCCTCAACGAAATGGGATTGCCGAACGCAAGAATCGCCACCTTCTCGAGGGGGCCCGCTGCCTCATATTTTCCTCTAATGTGCCTAAGGTTTTTTGGGGTGATGCTGTATCCACTGCATCCTACCTCATCAACAGGATGCATTCTCGGGTCGTCAAATTTCAAAGTCCAGTTCAACTCCTTCTCAAATCATTTCCCCACACCAAGGCAATTACCCAAAATTTACCTATAGAAGTATTTGGTTGCTCTTCCTTTGTTCACATTCATTCACACAATCATAGTAAACTTGACCCCAAATCTACTAAATGTATGTTCCTTGGCTACTCGCCTCTTCAAAAAGGGTACAAGTGCTACTCTCCTCTCACAAGAAAAACCTACAACACTTTAGATGTCACCTTCTTTGAAAATCAACCTTACTATCCCAATTCTAATATTCAGGGGGAGACTTTAAGGGAATATCAATCTCGGTGGGACAACGAGTTCATACCACCACACATCAAATCCTTGTCCCTTGAACCAAAAATTATCTCCCGACTTGGATTCAACAAGTTCATCCAACTCATGTGAAAATGTACCTAATAATCAGTCTACGTCTAGTCCTCAAGTGTCCAACTCGCACATAGATCACCCAACACATCCAACACCAATCCAAAAGTCATAACCGGATTCAACTCCCATAGAAATCCACTCAGGTACGAACACACTTGAGCATGAATTTACTATACCTATGATTGATGACTCCGACATTCCGATTGCTTTAATGAAAGGTGTTAGGTCCATCCGTCCGTCACTCAGGTACGAACACACGATGCATTTGATCTCCAACTTTGTGTCCTATGAAAGACTATCTTCAGCTTACCGAGCCTATGTCACTGCATTCGACAATACACAAGTCCCAATCACGATTGATGAAGCTCTCAAACACCCAGGGTGGAAAGCGACCATCAATGAGAAGGTAAGAGCCCTACAAAAGAATGGTACATGGACCGTTTCAGACCTGCCAAAGGGAAAGAAAGCAATCAGCTGCAAATGAATCTTCAAAGTCAAATACAAGGCAAATGGTACAATTGAGAGATTAAAATCACGTCTCGTAGCTAAAGGTTTTTCACAGTCCTACGGTATTGATTAGCAAGAAACCTTTGCCCCCGTGACCAAACTTAACACCATCAGAATCTTTCTCTCACTTGCGACAAATGAAGACTGACAACTACATCAAATCGACATGAAAAATGCTTTCCAAAATGTCGATTTGGAAGAAAAAGTTTACATGGAGGCACCTCTCGGGCTAGAAGCATTCTTTCCAAGTAACAAAGTCAACAAACTCAAAAAATCATTGTACGACCTCAAACAATCTCCCCGAGCATGGTTCGATAGATTTGCAAAATCAATGACAAAACACTGGTATACTCAGTGTCAGGCAGATCATACTCTCATCGTGAAAACCTCTCCCGAAAAGAAGATTGCAATTCTAATCGTCTACGTTGATGATATCATCCTCACTGGTAATCACGAAGAAGAAGTCACAAATCTGACAAAGCTTCTCACTCGGGAATTCGAAATCAAAGACCTCGGAAACCCAAAGTTCTTTCTCGGCATGAAACTAGCTTGATCAAAACAAGGAATATTTGTGTCACAATGGAAATATACATTGGATCTGTTGAAGGAAACAGGTATGCTCAATTGCAAACCCGTCGATACTCCAATGGATCCCTACAAGAAGATCCAAGAAGAGAAAAATAGCGCACATGTGGATAAGGGAAGATATCAGCGACTCGTGGGGCGACTCATCTATCTCTCATACACACGAACCAACGTTGGTTTTTCTGTTAGTGTTGTTAGCCAATTCATGAACAACTCTACGGAATAACACATGAATGCAGTCTACAGAAACCTCAAGATGAATCCAGGCAAAGGGCTACTGTTTCAAAGGAATAAGGATCAAATTATAGAAGTGTATTCAGACGCAGACTGGGCAGGGGATATCTCGGACCGACGACGACTTTCGGCTATTGCACTTATGTTTGGGGAAACCTAGTCACTTGGAGAAGCAAAAAACAATATGTGGTATCAAGAAGCAGCGCCGAAGCTGAATTCAGAGCTCTTGCACTCGGGATCTGCCAAAGAATGTGGATTCAAAGAATACTCAGCGAACTCGGAATGCTAACTGAAAAAACTGTCAAACTATAATGCGATAACCAGAAAACCATCAACATTGAAAAGAATCCAGTACACCATGACAGAATGAAACACATCGAGATCGATCGACACTTCATCTCAGAAAACTTGCATACATTCCTTCCTGATATCAAACAATAAATATCCTCACTAAGCCTCTCTCAAGAATCAACTTTGAAGAATTATGTAACAAGTTAGACATGTACAATCTGTGCAACCCAACTTGATGAGGAGTGTTGAAAGATCTCGAAAATACTAATTATTATATTTCATATTTGTTATAACTCTATATTTAGAGGGTTATAAATTATATAAGAGATCTTGGGAATTTTTATTTATTTCTCTCCTTAAATTAGAGAGATTAGCTGCCTCTTATATTTTAATATTATTCCTTTCTTTTTTTACTATATTCTGTTTTTATTATTTTCCTTACCAGTAATTCTTGTAATGGGTATTTATACCTCTTTTTTCATCAATAAAATTAAGTCCTCTCATATATTTTCACTTAACAATGTGGTAAGCCAAAGCATATCGCAATGTAAAGCACACAAAATTTTTTAAATTTTCCAACTGGCTCTTTAACCTGTTCAACAGGATGTGGTCTCCATTCTCGATCGCCACAACATCATGGTAATATTGGACAACCAGATTAGCACTCCTGGTTGGTGCTGTAGCCGATTTGATGGTAACGGTTTCTTTGGAGACGAATACTTTGATCCCGATGAATGGATTGCAAGCCTGAAAATAATGGCAGCAACCTTCATCTCTTCAAGCAACGTTGTTGGCATGAGCCTGAGGAATGAACTTAGAGGACCAAGGCAAAATGTCACCACGTGGTACAGGTATTCATGCCAATTATAACTGAAGCCATATCAAACTAGTAAAATGTTTTTTCTGCTAACTACTTCTGTTGCTATGTTATGTGACCAAGGTACATGCAAATGGGAGCTGAAGCAGTGCACTCTATGAATCCCACTATTCTCGTCATACTTTCAGGCTTAGATTATGATAAAACCCTCACCTTTCTATACGATAAACAAGTGGAGTTGACATTCAAAGGGAAGCTTGTTTTCGAATTGCATTGGTATGGTTTTTCAGATGGCGGAAACTGGGAGAGTGGAAACATCAATGTTGTGTGTGGAAATATATCGAATAGTTTGTTGGTTAAAGGTGGTTTTCTACTAGAGCAGGGCTGGCCCTTGTTTCTGTCTGAGTTTGGGGTGGACATAAAAGGTAACAATCCAGGCGACAATCATTTCCTGAGCTGCTTCCTGAGTGTGGCAGCTGAACTTGACCTAGACTGGGCCATCTGGGCATTACAAGGAAGCTACTATATGAGAGAAGGTCAGGTAGATTTTGATGAGACCTATGGCGTGCTAAGTTCGGATTGGAGCAAGCCAAGGAACCCAAACTTTCTACAGAGAATTTCAGCAATACAATCTCCTTTCCAAGGCATGCGATTTTTTATTTCCTTAGCAGTGCGTTTTACTTAATCTCATCTTCTTGGAATAGACAATAAAATTGATTTTTGATTCAGGCCCAGGTCTTTCTGATAGTTCGCCTTACAATATGATATTCCATCCACTGACCGGGCTCTGCGTCCTGCAGAACAACTTGAATGGGAAACCAGTTCTTGGTTCTTGTTCTGAATACGAGGCCTGGAACTACACAACAGAACAACAACTAGTGCTTAAGGATTCAGGACTATGCTTGAATGCTGAGGATGAGGACAATGAGGTAAAGTTTGGAACAAACTGTGAAAGTTCCAGTTCAAAGTGGGAGCTTCTAACAGATTCACAGATGCTCTTTTCGACGAAAACTGGTAAGGATGGCAACATCGTATGCCTGGACATAAACCTTAATAACACCATAATCACTTCCTCATGTAAGTGCCTTGTTGAGGAAGGGCCATGCAGTGCTGAAAGCCAGTGGTTCAAAATTGTTTATAGCAGTAGAGAAGGTAGTTCATCTTTTCCAAAATTGCTTTCGGTTTAGCCAAGCGAACTTGCATTCCTGTTCGGTTGTTTTTTATGATTTTTGTTGAACGTTTTTTTCTTTTGTAAAATTCGGAGTTGCCTCAGAAATATGTAAATACATTTTCATGCTTGAAAGAGTTTTAATTGTCTTGATTGATGAGTGCTTCCTTGATCATTAAAATTTGGAGCTGTCCTAACAATTTTTCATTGCACTGATTTTTTGAAAGGTTAAATGACTCACTTAACATCTTTGATTCATTTCTTAATTGCGTGATACTACGATTGATAATTACGTGAAAAGATATGATTCATTATTTATAAAGTAATAAAGTGTTGAATTAAATGGCTCACTTTGGGTTCACTTTGGGTGGATGCAATCCTTACGGGCTACAATGCAAAAAGTTATAAAAAAAATAATTGGAAATAATATTTAAATAATATGTAGGTTACAAGGATAATAACATGTAGGTTTATAAATTAGACTATGGCAAGCCTCAATTACATAAACAAGAGTAAGCCGGTTCATCTAAATTCATACAGCCTAGAAGAGTGCTTGGAGTTTATGCATAGAGATATTAGTTTGGTGAACTTTCCTACAAGCATATCAATATCTTTTTTCTGAACTAAAAGATATATATCTAAAAGCTTCCCTATAAGCACATGGAAACGTTTAATTGAGTTAAGCTTTTGATTTAACATTTTATCCTAAAATCTATAATTACTTGGAACATTGTCATATATAAGCTTGATGATAAAATTCACTTGAACTTCATATAGGATATTTGAAACCATGTAGATTGAAAAAGGGTGAGAATAAAGAGAAGCAAAAACACGTGGTAAAATCAGTCACTTCTGCTCCTCGTCTCCAGTTTGAGAATTCTCCTCGCTTTATGATTGACCATTACGAGAGAAGCATCATCAGTCGTTGGGTCCTGAAGGAAAAATGAGTAAACTTTGATATCCATGATTTGAGGAAGGTCATGCTAAAGGAAAATCTATCATGAAGTATGTATATCGAAAGGGGAGGCTAAGAGCCATGGGACAGGGAAGCCAAAATTTAGTAGAATCTTTAGATATTAACTCCTGCCACCCCTAGCTAGGTAGTAGATGCAAGAATAATTCCAATGCTTACTTAGAGGATTAAGAGTGATAATCCATTGATCTTATTTAACCTCAGACCTCAGTATCTCATTGTGCTTCATAATTCTCAAGGAAATTCAATGGGTATCAGAGGACTACATCAGGATATTCAAAATATGGAGATGCTAATTATTGGTCAGACCTATAGGTCGATTGAACGAAACTAGAACCAAACGAAAGAATAGGAGGCCCCTAATCTGAAGGATAGTTAGCGACAACTAACTCCCTAGATTGATTCCAGAATTCTGCACAAAAATGGCTAAAAGTCACCACATTGAATATCTTTCCAATCATTTAAAAAGGCCCCTTGTCAAATGAGATTTGCCCGTCAGATTACAATGATACACCCTCTACTTGGCGATCCAAGTTCACCCTAATGACAAGAGGGTCTTTACTAAGGATTCTCTCAAGGAGGCTGACTGAAGGCCTTCTATTCGACTGAACGATTATCAAACCACTAAATGACAACACCAATGGACTATTAAAAGCCATCCATTTAAGCAGTTACAAATATGAAATAATGCCAACTTCAGTTATGGATAATAAAGGGTCCAAAATTCTCTTAAAAATATGAAAAGGTGCAATGATGATTTCTAACAAACCAAATAAAACAAGGACAAACATATAACTTTACTAGATACCCCTATGAGCTATAAATAGGTGGTCATTTTTTCAAGAAAGGATTACTGAATTCACCCTCTCAGAACTTGTCTTACAATACACTTTCCTTCCTCTATTTCTCTCTATTGGTTCTTCTCATCTGTCCAACACTCTATACCCTGAGTGTGATTCACATGACCTTTTGGATTCAATATCCTAAAAGGTATGGTGAGCATGGACTCATGTATTCAACAAGAAGAGAAGAGCCCCACGAAGAAAGAACTCACTCAGATGAAACCTCTAACGTAAAGTCTATAACACAATTTGTTCAACAACAAATTTAGGAACTCCGTGACCAACTGATGGGAAAAATGACAGAATTGACCCATGCAATAATCGACACAAGCTCGAGGAGAACTAGAACCCCAAGGGCACTGAACGACTCAAGGGGCTTAAAGAATTGAGGAGTCGAAGTACTAGGATAGTGTTAGGTCTATGCACACCTTAAAATTACCTATTTTAAATGTACATTTTATGTTCAATTTTAAGGATATTGCGCTTTAATGAACGATATTTTGTGTGTTTTTTATTGCAGGTGCAAGAAATGGAGTTTAAGAGCAAGAAGGAGCAAAAATGCATGAAAAAAGAGCAAAATAGAGTAAAAGAAGCCATGTGAGAAAATTTAACTTGGGGCCTAGGCGCTAGATTCTTTTAGAAGGCTGGTGCTTAGGCGCGGCAGTTGGGCGCTAGGATCCAGAAGCAGTTACCTTTATATTCAATGAATTTGAACGAATTTTGAAGAGGTTTTTGAAGCAAACCTTGGTGATTTTCAGAGCTCTATATATAAGGATGAGTTCCAAATGAAAGGGTGTGTGTGTTGAGTAAGTTTTGAGTAGGTTAGACCACTCATTGGAGTGGGCAACCACCATAGTGAGAGTGTGGTGAGTCTTTGAGATTGTGAGTCTAGTGGTGTCAAGTTTAGTCACGAAACTTTAGTGGATTGCTTGGGGAAGCATTTTAAAAAAGTATTTATATTTGTGTTTAAGATTTGTTTTGTAAACTTTTCATATATATATATATATATATATATATATATATATATATATAATGTTTTATTTTGCTATCCCCATGTTTTCTAAGTAGTTTTCTTTTCTTTCTCCTTACAAAAGAAGTAATCATGTGTGGGGTTAGATTGTTTTGAAGTCTTATTTTATTCCAAAAATTTGTGATGGTATTATCACCGGTCCTTAATTTACTTTGCAAAGTGGTCATTTGTGATGTTAAAATATGCTGAAAAAATATAAAGATCCGGGAGGGCTATTGTTTCATCAACTACTGAGTACCACACTAAACTTTGGATGAAGGTGATGCTATGTCTAAGGGGGACTGCAAATAGATAGGGAGATAAGTTTTGATGGGTGTAGAATTGATGATTCTAGAGTAACAGACTACATCTTTTATCAATTTGGTCTTTAGTTCGGGACTAAGTCTTGGTTAGTCCTAATAGAGAGGGTTAGTGGGTAATCTAGAAGTGAAGGCTATAATTTACTCAGCACAATCATATCAATCAGGGACTTAACTTTAGATTAGCCAATGTTCTTTATGCACTTGAGAAAGGTTAAAGACTAGATATGCTTCTATTTGTCAAAAGCCTCATTTTCATCTTTAACCATTTGATTCGTACATTGATTAAAATCTCTTTGCAAGGGGAAATTTTTTTTATTATAATAGTACTTATTTACATATTTGTAGATTAAGAAATATCCCACTTATTTTTAGCTTTAATTTAGAAGTTGCAAACTTTAGTTTATACCCAGTTATAAACAATTCGATATTTTCTCCTACAAATTTTTCTTACAGTTTAGATAGAAATATTTCTAAGTTTTCATATAAATTCTCTTCTTCCCAGTGAGTTCGATACTAAGGTTTTTAAATAAAACTTTATATTATTTGAAACGATTCGTATACTTGCGTAGTACCCATAGTGTGCAAGTTATTAATCAATTTTGAATCATAATTATTTTACAAACTAGGTGCCAAATATAAATTGGGTCAAGTTTTTTGCCGTATTTTAGAATTTAAATAATTACGTAATTTCAGGTCAGGTCAAGTTTCGGGCATAGTCGCCGGGGAAGTGACCGAAATTTTTTTCTTAGACTTAGAATTTTTTTTAAGCTCTGGAATTAATTTAGAAAAATTGTAATGTTATTAAAAATATTTTTGAAAACAAAAAAAAATTAAAAAAACTGAAAAAAATAAAAAATGAAAAATATTTTGATTTTAAGTGTTTTGTTTTACTTTTATTTTCTGAACTTTTAATTTTACATGCATAGTGTGGGATCTGTAGGTTTAGTACCTTACAATTTTGAGTTAGAACGAACCATTAAAAAAATCAGAAAACAAAAAGAACTTCACAATTCTTAAGAAATGTCAAACACATCGCAAAATAACTTTAATTACCAAATGGTTGAATATAAACAACATATTTTACAAAGACCTTTAAGGGACTATGCAAACCCTACAACAAATGAAATTTAATTAAGCATAGAAACCCCTGCTGTAGCAGCTAACTCATTTGAACATAAACCTGACATTATACAAATGATACAAAATAATTAGTTTGTGGGAACTCTATCTGAGGATCCAAATGTACACCTTACAAGTTTTCTAGAACTATGTGCTACATTTAAGTAGGATGGCATATCAAACATTGTCATTATGCTTAAAATTTTTTCTTTTTCCCTAAGGGATAAAACTAAGATGTGGTTAAACTCTTTAGCACTTGGATCTTTTAGAACTTGGGGAGATTTAGCACAAAAATTCTTAGCTATGTATTTTTCCACCTTAAAAAATTGTCAAGCTTAGAAATGATATTACCTCTTTTGCTCAGTATGAAGGTGAGTCAATATATGAAGCTTGGGAAAGATTTAAAGAACTCCTAAGAAAGTGTCCACATCATGCCTTACCAGACTGGTTAATTATTCAAACATTTGTAATGGGTTAACAAGATCTCTTAGATCTATTATAGATGATGCTGCCTGATCCCTGGATACTGCTAATATTAGAGGAAATTCATATTAACTTATGTTTCACTTATATTTCCTTACTTTGCAATAAAACCAAAAACTTGATCCTCAAGAGAAATAAGAATTTAACTTTTAATTTATATATATTAGGATACTACACAAGTATACGTATCGTTATCAAGTAATATAAGACTTTTTGATTAAGACCTGAATATCAAACCCATAGGGAGAATGCGTAATATGCACTATTGAACAACAAAATTTCTATTTTTTAATAAAAAGATAATTATCTAAACTAAATATGATTTTTGCAGTGATGAAAATTTAAATATTTTTAGTATTTTC